TGGCCAGATAGCTCAGTGGACTAAAGTGCCTGCTTAGGCAGGCGCAGGGACCTGGGGTTCAACACCCTCCTATCTCCTGTGCTGGCCCCGTCCCTAGGGTACGCTGAGAGGCAACTGAGACTGGGTGTTGCAGCGCGTACCTGTAATCCCAGCACTTGGGAGGCTTAAAACAGGATTGCTACGAGTCCAATCTGTGTGGTGAGACCCTATAGACCCTATACTAAAATACAAAAAATAAATAAAATTTAAAAAGTTAAGTGGCCCTAATAATTACTGTAAATACATATTATTTTAAATGACTGCTTTGGAATTAAGCAGAGGTTGTGGTTCTACAGTACTGTGAATATACTAAATGCCACTGAATATCCACTTTATTTACACTTTGTTCTTTGGTTGCAGGATTAAACCCAGGGTCTCTGCACTGAGCTACATTCCTAATGCCTTGAAATTTTCCCATTTTGAAACAAGGCTACTAAATTGCCCATTGGGCTTGAACATGCGATCTTCCTGCCTCAGCCTCCCAGGACATCACCAGGGCCGGGCAACCCACACCCTCTGATGGTTACCTTCCTGCCACAGGAATCTCAGTGCAAGAAGGGGCGCGCCTCACCCGCCTGCCACGTACCTGTGCTGTAGCCGTCCTGCAGCTCCATGATGAAGCTGTGCGCATTGGCCTTCTGCGCGGCCGCCACCACCGTCTCAAAGGGCACAGAGGGCAGCCCGTAGGCGATGTTGTCAGAGATGGAGCGCGCGAACAGCACGGGCTCCTGGCTCACCAGGGAGATCTGCAGGGCGGAGGCTGCCGTCAGCCAGGTCTACAACCTGGGCAAGAGCCTGGGACCTGAAGGGCGCGAGCGTGCATGCGTGGTGCGGGAGCTCTGCCCGCTTCAGCCTTGCCGCAAACCCTCCTACAAAAATAATCCTATGGAGGGCAGAATTGTGCTGTAAAGAAAATGAATGACCCGCTGGAGGTGGTGGCACACACCTGTGACCCCAGCACTTGGGAAGCTGAGGCAGGACGATTGCAGTGAGTTCAAGGCCAACCTGGACTACACAATTAGTTCAAGGCCAGCTTAAACTGCATAGTGAGACCTTGACTCAAAAACTAAAAAAACAAAAACAAAAACAAAACAAAAACCCAACAAGAAGAAAAAGTGCATGGGCTGGGGAGATAGCTCAGTGGTCTAAGTGCCTGCCTGGCAAGCACAAGGACCTGAGTTTAATCCCCAATACTGCATGCCACACTGGCCCCACCCCTGGGCACACTGTGCTGGCCACCAAGACTGGGTGTGGCGGTGCATGCCTGTAATCCCAGTGCTAGGGAGGCTGAGGCGGGATCACTGCAAGTCTGAGTTGTGTAGCGAGACCCTGTACCAAATAAATAAATGAAAGAGGAGCAGGAGGAGGAGCGGGAGGAGGAGGGGGAGGAAGAAGAGGAAGAGGAGGAGGAGGAGGAGGGGGAGGAGGACACCAGTCCCCAGCCATCCTCCTCTGGTGCAGATGGGACAGGATGTGGCGGTGTCTCCCAGCTGGGGGCTCCTGCCCCACGCAGCTTGGCCAGGAGGCCTGGAATTTCTGTGCCACTCTCAGCTTCTTTGCTGAAGATGTAAAAGCCTGGCCTTGCTTTTATGATATACAACCTGGACACCCAGACAGGGTCTCCCTGCTCACAGACGAGCACAGAGTTAGGGGTGCGGCCTCATTTCTGGAAGGGCTGCCCCGGTGGTCACGAGGGGCCTCCCTGAGTCCCACAGATGGCCAGGTGTGAACGGAGCAGAATGTAAGCTGAGGGTGCCCCCCCCCCC